CGAACGGGGGCGCATCTTTTTTCCGAGAGGTCACCGGAAATAGCATTTAAAATATTTTTTTTCCAAAAGTTTCATAATTTCTGTGTATCTTTGTAATAATACAAACAAGTTCTAATAAAATATTTCATTTTTTATATGAGAAAAAAATTGTTGAAAAAATTCGAGGAAACCCAAGTAACCCCTTAAAAACGTTTGTTTTTTTCACCCGCTCTGAAATGTGAGGAAAATTTTCCGTTACAGCTGGACAAGTCAACTTCAAATTGCTACACGACGATAGATTTTTCAATTAATAATCGAAGGAATATGATTTTTTAAAACACTCTAAATTKTAAATGTTTTCAAAAAAARAAACTGCTTTWGGGAAACCGCCATTTTGTCAAAAACTAAAATATTGTATAGTAAAGAAGAAGAAAATATTGAGTCTTCAATCACTACCCGTATATATGTAATATATTATTGTAACAACCTTTTTTGATTTTTATCTAATTTTAATCAGAAAAATYCTCCTCACAGCGAGACAGATTTTTTTCAGAGTCCTTTTGGAGGTCGACCCAAATTTTTTCAAAATGAATCGTTGATTATTAAAGTATATTCCATKTTGTAAATATATGCATATTATTTCTAAAATATTTACTACAAGTGGAACTAACTCCTTAAAGAACCTCTTCCAACACTTAAAACATTTCTGGTAATAGTTTTTTGATAGACATTCGAGTTTTTTCATAATGCTTGTGGACTAAGCTTAGAACGCAGAAAGCTTGGACCTGAGACTATTAATGAAGTATACAGGGTGCGTTCCAAAGTAAACAGGATTTTTTAAATCTAGCGCCCCATCTATATGTTGACTGGTGTGTTAGAATCTGCTATCTTAATCGATTGTCCAGTGAGAATTTCATTTCTTCATTTCATCGATTGGAAGTGAAGTTAATTTTTTTTTTATTTTTTTTTGAAATTGGTAAAACTTTTACCGAAACGTTACAATTGATGAAAAAAGTAAATTGACTGACGACCAAAAATTGCTGAGAATCCAACATTCGAAGGACGATTATTTGATTATTAACCATTAACCACTCACCGTATTCATCTGATATGGCGCCGTGCGACTTCTTCCTTTTCGGAAAAATGCATGAAAGGAAAGCATTATGCAGACGTAGAAGCCATTCAAAGGCCTCGTACCGGCATTCTGGCCAACGAGCTGAAACAATCGTTCGACATGCTTTTGGACCTTGCAAAAGGCTGTATTGAAGCAAAAGTCCTGTTTACTTTGGAACACACCTTGCAGTTATACATTTGCTATAAGAAAAGCACCTGTGAAGGGGAAGGGTTTTCCTCTCACTGCTTACTTTAAAATATATATGGATATCGCAGATTAATTTGTTATAGTACAAACATATAGACAAACTTATACGCAAATATATAAAACCGATGTGTATAGCGTATCAATTCACTTCGTGGCAACATTAAAATGCGACTTGATCCCATTTGACTAGGGGTCACTGCAGCGAAAATATTGCAAGAGCACATCTGTTTATAGAGCATGCAATAAAAGTGGCTTTAAATTGCTTTTCCCTTTTAATTCAAGTTAAATGCTTTATTTGAACGTTATACGCACACTTATGCATATTTAATGTGCTTATAATAGATTCAAATTCAATATAATTCACAGACAAAGGTTTTCATATTTTATATTTTCATTGTTTTCAATTTATTTTAGTAGCGCTAATTAAGAGTGAGATTAATTGCTATGAAGCTTTTTTCAACATTATTTTACCAAATATTTTTGGTGAACTGATTTTTTAAATGTTTTTTTTTTGTATAAAAAATTTCTTAATTAAATTAATATTTAATATTCATTAAACTAGTTAAATGAAACGAACGTATTTTAAATTAAAAATGTCTATGTTTTTAGAAATTCGTTAAAAAATAATTACGACTAACTGAAGCAATTTCCGATTTAATTTCGTTGCAATTTTTTTTTTTTTTTTTTGTTTTTCGCCACTTCTTTGTTCGCGCTCATTTAAGCACTGTTTTCTTGATCGAAGAATTTTTTATTCAAACAATTAAATGTTGATTTTTCCCAAAAAAAAAAACAGAAAAATCGTTGTAAAGTTTACCGTTAATTTAATTCTGTAAAGAATGTGCTTCGCGCGCTACGCTCAACTTATGGTCAACATAATTGGCCTACTGAGCGGACTATTCGCAACGCCATTACCCAGCATTCATTATTTTACAATGTTCGACCGAATAGACTACGTCCAGCACGAGGTGAAGAAAGTATAGCAGAGCCGAGAGTATACACGAAGACCGTGGAGGGTCGTTCGGCGCAACTCGGACCGACGTATGGAACTACTTGGCAGACTTTGCGTCGTAATCAGTTTGTGCAAAAACTGAAGTTCTGGGCTGTTAAAAAGTTCCAAGATTATCCCACGTTTTTGAGCCAAATTTTATTCAGAGATGAATCCCATTTCTGGCTCAATTGGTATGTAAACAAGCAAAATTGAAGCATTTGGAACGAAGAGCAACCCACAGAGATTCAAAAGCTGACATTTCATCCAGAAATAACAACGGTTAGGTGTGGTTAGTGGTTAGATGGAATTGTCGGCCATTTATAAGGTTTGCACATGCTTTTGGACCGTGCAAAGAGCTGTATTGGACCAGAAGAAGACCATGAATAAAATAAATTGATTTTGCCGAAAAGGTCATTTGTTCTGTTCTTTTTTTAAAGTCCTGTTTACTTTGGAACGCACCTTGTGGAAATCATATTATCATTTCATTCCCATTGGAAAACGCAGTACATAAGCAAATCTGGATATATCAGGGTTTTCAGTTTGAAAAATTTCGTATTCCCTGTTTCCAGTTAGCGAGATCTTAAGGAGGGCTTCCGAAAAATTGTTTCTAGCGGTGAGCAAGGTTTTAGTGAATCGGAGCCGCATAATTTCGTAACTAACAAATTTCGCAAGCTCTCTTTACATAAACTTTAGTACACGAAAAGGTAAGGTAAAATTAGTCTCTTCTGGGGTTATGATAAAACAAAAAGAACAAATTGTTCCATATAAAAGGATCAAACGTGCCATTAGACACATCTGTTTTAGCAACTAACCGGAAACTTAAACTGAACTTACCACATTTCTTGACAAGGGGGTTTGATGTTTGCGAGTAGTGACCTACACACTGACATCCTGACTGATTGACTGCTTGCAATCGTTGCCAACGCAAGCATCTTTTGACGCAAATCAATGAAGGATGTTGGCAACAAGAAAGCCAGCTGCCAAATATTGCTGTTATAAGCATTAACCTAAGCATATCTCGCATGCATAATAAATGTATACGAAAGCAAATATCTTACAATTACTACATGTATGTGTATTTAAATATGTAAGTATAGACGATACACAGAGATACGCACACATCGCATCTTGGTAGTTGCGACTGACAGTTACTAATCTTCCCTAAAACGCATTTTTCTTTTTGTTTTGCTTAACATGTACTCACATCTACTATATACATATAAATATATTTATATATATATGGCAGTATATATATATATATTTGTTTTTGGTGAAATTGCAGCACTTACCTGCCATTAGTTTGCCGGTAACATCAATCAAATCATTCTGACAAGCCAAGTCCACGGCCGTGGCATAATTGTGGTAGGAGAATCTCTGGCAGATTTCAATGAAATTAAATTCCGTCCATGCACGCTGGTAATCAATGAAATTAAAATCTTGTAGCAACATTTTCAATGTGTAAATTATGCCGAACTGTGGAGCGCCAAAGTGTGGATCGATTCGTTGGTTGCATGCAAGTAAATATAGAATTGGAGAAATTGAGTGGCGGCCATTAGAGTAAGACTATAAATATGAGTAAGACCACAAACATAAATATGAGCATGGTAATGCGTCGAGCACTGTTAAAGTGTATTAAATATTTAGTCCATGCAAACAGCATAGCTTCACATAGCCATAGACCGCGCATGGCACGAATTGAAATTCAACAAATTATTTTCAAAATCGTTGCATAGCATTTGGCGCTTTCGGAATTTAAACAATTTAATATTTTATTATACACGTAGGTGTATTTACAGTTATAAACTTTATGTTGAATTTATTTAGTTGCATTATTTTATCCACACACGCGCATGTGTGTATGAACCAGTGATAAATCACTGTGTGAATTGCAAGCAATTCGGCTGTAATTGTAGCCTCAAAATATGCAAAACATTTCGGTAGCGCAAAAAGTTACGATTTATTTATTATTTAGTCGTGTTCGTGCCGTTTTACTCGTATGCCAACATTTTTTTTTTTTTACATAAAGTAAAAGCAAACTAAATCAAGTAAGTAGTTATGCAAACCATTTGTAGTGCTTTAAAATAATATGTTTGTGCGCTCTACTCATCTATTTTTAAATATTTACATTTCTGGAATTTTTTCCAGCGATAGTTTCGAAGCTATGTTGCAAATGTTAATGTTGCCTTTAAAAAAAAAAATATCGAACACAGAATTTGTCTCAAATTTTGAATTTCTAAACAAATTTCGTGTACGGAATCGTTGCAATTGTTCGAAAGGGCTAACGGTGATTCAGTTTTATCAAAAACACAATTCTACAAGTAGTACCAAGCATTCACAGCCAGTCGAGAGATCGTTGAAGATATGCCCCGTTCTAAACGGCCTTCCTGCGACCTCTACAACTGATGAAATTAAAAATAAAAAAAGTGAAGAATATGGTGATTGAAAATCGTCAAGCAAGTGTTAGAGAGATAGCAATTAAGCCCGACATCCCTCGCGAGTCCGTTCGCATGAATTTTGGTAGATATTTTAGGTATAAACGCGTTCTTACTCGATTCGTTCCGATATAGCTCAATTTTCATTCAAAAAGAGTACCGTAAATACGTAAATACATAGGTCTCTTAGGAAATGCTAGATTGTGCGAATTCTGATCCCACATTCGTGGAGAGCATTATGAAAGTCTATAAGACATAGGTTTATGAGTTTGACTTGCAAACAAGTAAACAACCATCGAAATTAAGGGGGAGAAAAACGAATGGAAACCAAAAAAACCAATACAAATCCGATCAAAAGTCAAGGTGATGCTCGTTGTGTTTTTCGTTTGTTCCGGAGTGACATACGGTCAGTACGGAGTTCTATTTGGCCATATTGAGACGTTTACGTGAGTACATCTATCGAAAACGGCCGGAATTGTGAAAGAATGGATTAATGGATTTTACAAGATGATAATACACCACCGCTTTGAGCCACGATCAGGATCTAATTTTAAGCCAAAATCACAGTAAATACCAGCGATCAACCACCGTATTTACCAGATTTGGCTCCATGTGATTTTTTCTTGTTCCCAAACTGAAATTGCCGCTCAGTGGAACCCGCTTTCAGTCGTTCGAAGAGATAAAACAAAATTCGCTGAAGAAGCTGAAGGCCATCCCAAAAAGTGCTTTCGCAGACTGTATTACATCTTAGGAAGAACAAGCAAACTTGTTGTTAAACACAAGAAGAACTCACAGAATACTTTAGGGTCACTCTAATGTCGTGTCAGAAGGTTAAAACCCAGATGGATACCTTCAAAAGCAAGGAAATTCGTTCCAAGACAATAATGTTTGGCCTCATATTGGAAGACTGCTTAACAACCATTTGAACAGCGACTAGAAAGCTTTATCTCACCTGCTTATAGCCCAGATCTTTCTTCTTCAGCTTACCATTTGTTACATTCGATGCAATACACTCTCACCGAAAAGCGGTTCACATCAGAACAAGTTATCAAATATTAGGTTGATTCATTCTTGGTCGCCACGCCAGCACAGAAAGAAGCGAAAATGTTATAGCTATAAAGGTTAACCATCCAAGTTTTTCCAATAAAGTTTCTTAGCTATTGGATCGGTGTGCGCTTAGCGGTGATCTCGGCAATGTCGAATTAATATGCACCTGCACTCTTGATATAAAATTACAGCAGATTTAAAATTACCAACTGAAATTCTCGGGTGAACTTTAGCAACCTGAAGTTAGGTTATCTGCGTTGTTTTAGTCCAGCGGAACTCCATTTTTACAATCCGGATACTGTTGAATATAGCAAATCTATAGTAAATATGTGGAACCAGAGCTTCAAGCAGATCGATGAGTACTATCTGTGGACGGATGTTTTGTTCCTATCAGCTTTTATGGACACAATGTTCATTAATTTTATACACAAATATTTAAAGCTGATGAAAGGTAAAGAGGACCCATTATTTAAACATGTTTTGACAATATCATAATATTATAAAGGATATTTTGCTTTCCAAGAAGAAACAAACGGTCATGGCTGCTTCAAATAAATTCCAGTCGTGAGGCTAAATTTTCAATCAAGTTTTGCAGTAGTTTGTGTCGAACTTCAGCAATAACGCATCGAATATTATTTTCCAAGGCCTGAATCGTCTCAGGCTGATCGACATAGACAAGCGATTTAACGTAAACTCATAAAAAATATAACAACGTAGTTAAATCGCATGAATTTTAAGGACATAGGTTTGCGACCCGAGATAATGACCCCACTCAGAGTTTCCTATAATATGATTGTTTCGTTGAGTGTATGGAATGTACCGCCATCTTATTGGAACCAAAGCTCGCCCGCATCAACATCCATCAAATCAGACACGACTCTATAGTGATCCCCATTTACTGTATCATTAAGGCAAAATCATAATTCCCTCTGCCAATAGGACAATGACTTTTTGATGATGTGATGGCAACTTAATAATAGCTTGTGAATGTGAAAATCGGTGACCACCTCGTTTTGGACCCATTCACCAAACGTGCGTCACGCTTGATGGCTTTTCGGCTTCAATACGTGGACGAGTTGGATTTTATAAGCCTACAAACCAAGATCCTTGCATAAAGTGGAACAAGAAAAAAATGTTTGGCTCAGGTCCAATTATTACGAGCGCTAGCAAATGGTCTCATTAGATCTTCTTGGATATTCTGCTTCACAGCACCAATAACGTCTTCGGTGTGCACTATATGGCATCTATGAGGAAGCATATTATCCACTAAAGTAAACCGATCCATAGTTTCTCGAATTACCGACCCTGCTGGACGATTATGTCGACCAAATGTTGGACGCAGAGCCCGATGTATCGGGTAAACCGAACCATTATGTTGGTATTAAATTTGCGATCTCGTAGTGTGTCTGTTCCTTATGAAATGGCAAATCAAACGGGGTATAAATCAAGGAGTACCTATCAAAAATACAAACTTCGAAAAAAGTATTGTCTTATTAAAAGCCACAGGTTCAAAAGAACACACGTTAGTATTACAATATTTAGGGTGTACCCCTTGTTAGATTACACTTTAAAGAACCAATGGTATTTACTAAATGGATAAACATCGGTCCATTTTAGCAACATTGAGCAAAAACAAATAGATTTCAATTAACAAGGCTTCTCTGATCACGGTATAACAAGCAAGTGGGAATAATTGAGAAATTCCAGAGGACTACGGAATCCGAAATAAGAAAAAGTAAGTTTAGAATTCGATTATGGCTTCAGTGAATAATTTAAAGAAATATTTCTTACAACTTTTCATCAAAGGTTAAAACTGTCTGGTGGTGGTCCACCTACCCCTCCACCTAGAATTATAAATAAGAATTTCTTAAGAATTCTCCGACCAACAAAATACTATTACAAAAATGTTCTAAAAAATCAGCAGAATCTTTTCCGTAAATGCAATTCCCACTGGGCAACTGTCAACCACCAGACCCTGACGCTCACTCACCTGTGCATTTTTATCATCGAGCACCATCAGTTTATTTGTCATGCGATACAAAACTTTGGCCAACAATTTCTGCTCCTCCGCACGATGCCGTTGCGGTAGCGCGCCGTAAAAATCACCGTTACTATCGAGTGACAACGACGCCGCCGCTGTTGTGACTTCTGTGGCAGTTGTCGACGCCGGCAATGTTGGCGATGACGTGGCTCTGAATAAATTACGTAACGGCAATGGCAGACCGCTAAACAGACGATAGTCGAAAAAATCCCACAGCAAATTGAAATTAGTCTCATAGGTGGACGGCGAGAGCGATTTGTCGTCACCAGACGCAACAGCGCCCGCGGCATGACTAGCAGCAGCAGCAACATCAAAACCAAAACCGAAAGGCGCAACGCCCGAATTTTCAATTTTATTCGACGAGTTGTAGGTTTGATTGTTATAATGTAGTTGTTGTTGTTGTTTGTATTTTGCATTTTCCATGATGAAGCGGCCGAGGCAAAGCGCGGCGTTTTCTCTGACACGGAAATCATCGTTGCCGATCAATTGCAAAAGTTCATCCAAAAATTGGGACTGTAAAAAGAGATAGAGCGTAAAAGAAGTGATGAGAATAAAAAATAACGGGATGTAGATAAATAATGTAGTAAATAAGTGGAGCAGAAGCGCGGCAAGAAATCAATAGCAAGACGAAATACACAATGGCAGAAGATTAACTTTTTAGAAATGAGGAGTGGGGGTCTCGGGAGCACGTGAAGCTGTGTAAGTGGAAAATTCATCACTGTTGTAATGTTCTTCCTTCACGCCAGTGTAGGCGTCAGAAAAAGGCCAAGCGAGAAGGCGAGAGTCACTTCATTTAATGAGAACATGTACAGCACACACACACACACACACAAATATACATACATTTAATATATACATACATATGTATGCAGAAATATAAATATGTAATTGCATATGTGTATGTATGTATGTACTTGCTTGTGTGCAAATTGAAAAACAAGTAAATGCGAGAAATGAAAATTTTTCGTAAAGCGACCTAAAACGCCTCCCCCTCCTACTCCGCCACCCGCAACAGCGAAATGCGCTCAAATGAAGCACAAACGCGGAAAAACGAGGCGAATGCACACCGAAATCAGGTTGCCACTGACATGAATACGTTGCGTGCGTGCGATGTCCTTGTGGACGAATCACACACACACACACACACCCAGTCACACATGCTTATGCTTTTTGTGTGTGTGTGTGTGTGTGCGCGCGCGAGCATGTAAGATGTTATTTAGGTGAACTGATAACTTATGCGCAGAGGCAGCTTGCCGTTCAAGCGGCAAAAATGGCAAGGCCTTGCGAGCTTGCGGAAGCATACTTAAGTGCAAAACCCCATACACACACACACAAATGCATATCTAGTTGTAAGGGCAGATCTAAACATATGTGTATAAGTCGCTCTTAAATGGTTTATTTCGTATTATATATTTGGCAGCATATACTTACGCAAGTTTTTAAAGCAGCAGAACTCTATTAAGAATTGCCTTAAATGTCCATTTTATTTGAAATTTATAAGCTTTTTATATTTTTTTGTTGCACTCAGTTTCAAAGCGCTAGGCAGTGTCCTTTTTACTATGTAAGAGGAAACAAAGGATAATCAGTGATTCAATTAGGAGAATTGCAGATTCCCTTGATCTTGTAGCCGATCCTCAAGCGGGCAACCGAAAAAACTGTCAGGCGGTGTGTAAGATTTTTTCTGCATCAAAAACATTTCAAAACCAACAACCAAACAAAAAGAAAACAAACATTAACTTCCATTGTACCGAAGCTCGCGCCCAGCGGCAGGCCATAGAATTTGCTCGCGGTAAGGTAATCCTGTCGTAAGAGGTAACTAAAATCCATATGCACTATGTATTTTTGGCTTGACTCAAAATTTCCGCATTTTTGTCAGAAATTGACATTATAGAGTTTGAATGAGTTTAATACTAATAAAAAGACATTTGAAGTTCTTGCGACAAATGTCACCAGTCATTGAGATTAATGTGTACACAACTGGTAATAGCAAAAGCTACAAGGTTTAAACGGAGACTTAAATCTGGAACCACGGAGTTCGCTACAATCTGCTCATTGGGTTTGGGGATATTCGTGGTTTAAACCTAAAGACAGGTAGGATTGCAAATTTAATTTAGTGTATAGTCGCACTGCGGCCGGTAGGAAAGGTGTCCACCCAACCAATTAGAACCAAATAATACTTACAACAAGAAAAAACGTTAACTTCAGCTGCACCGAAGCTAATATGCCCTTCACATATGAATTTCTTTTAGTAACTATGTGCTCAGTTTATATGCTATAGTAATCCGATCTGAACAATTTTTGCGGGGATTATATATCCATATCAAATTTGGTGAAGATACCACGTCAAATGCGAAAGTTTTCCATACAAACCAATCTGAACAATTTCTTCGGATATTACAGTGTTGTCCTGGAAAATAATATCTGCCAAATTTCGTGAATATATCTTGTGAAATGCAAAAGTTTTCCATACAAGAACTTTTTTCC